ATGTTTGTACCTTATTTGGACTATTGTGTTGAGTGTTGGGGTAATACATATAAAAGTGCATTATGGCCATTATTTATATTGCAAAAACGGGCCATTAGAATTGTTCATGGACTTGGTTACAGGGATCATACGAATTCATCATTTGCACATTCAGGATTTTAAAAATTTTTTGATTTAGTAAAATATAAATCTGCTGTATTTATGTATAAAGTTAGATATAATTTGGTGCCAAGTGGTATTCGGGGTTTGTTTGGTGATCGAGAGGGTGGTTATGGATTGAGGGGCCACTTAAATTTAAAAACTCAGGCCATACGTACAACTAGGAAAAGTTTTTGTATATCTGTGAGTGGTGTAAAATTATGGAATAGATTGGGTGATGATTTAAAACAATGTACAAGTGTAAAACAATTTAAGAACAAATATAAAAAGGTCTGCATAGCTGGGTATTGGATACAGGAAGTGTAATGATATTATCATGATATTATTGGTATATTTATGGGTGGGATATGAATAATTTATTGCATGTAATTTGGTTATTAATTCTGTAATTGTGATTTCTGGTTAGAAGGAATGCAGTGATTCGGGGCCGCGGGAATTTAACCAGTGTAGCTGTTTAGCTTAACACTTGAGTTGGGTTAATCATAGTTTGGATTATCAGGGGTAGAACTAGATAAGTATTACTTCTTTCTACTCCTTTGCAAGCATGTAATGATCATTTATCATCATGAGACATTTTTTTTCCTCTTTTCTTTTTTGGGTTTTCTCTGGTTGTTTTGAGGTATATATTGATTATGATTTCTTTTCCCTTATCTGTTTTATTATATGCTTGGAATTAATAAATAAATAAATAAAAATAATAAAATTAATTTAAAAAAATGTCCTCTTCTGCAGACAGCAGAGATTGCGCTGGCAAATTTGAAGAGCAAGTATGAGAATGAAAAGACTATGGTGACAGAGACCATGATGAAGCTGAGGAATGAGCTGAAGGCTCTGAAAGAAGATGCCGCCACCTTCTCCTCCCTCAGGGCTATGTTCGCCACAAGGTGAGAGGGTGTCTAGAAATGTGAAGCCACTAACATGTGAATGATTTTCTTTGTGTTAATGTGAACAGTGAATTGTGTCTAAACAAAAATCTGTCCATTTATCTTTCTTTCTGTAGATGTGATGAATATGTCATCCAGTTGGATGAAATGCAGAGACAGCTGGCGGCAGCAGAAGATGAGAAGAAGACTTTGAACTCCCTCCTCCGTATGGCTATCCAACAGAAGCTAGCCTTGACCCAACGCTTGGAGGATTTAGAGTTTGACCATGAGCAGATCCATCGTGGCCGTAGCGCTAAAGTTCCCAAGATAAAAAGCAGCCCGCCCAAAGTAAGTGGCAGAGATGCTGTCACAGCTCCTCCAGGTCACTGCTTCATCCACCACCTGCATGCTGAACACCCTCAGTGGTCCTCCCCTGTAGAGCTAACTGCCTGTCTATGTCTGCGTGGATTCCAGACACACTTGTTGAAACAATCCAGACCTCAGTGTCAACTCTGCCTGATTGGGTACCAGAATTTGTCTCACAATGAGCCCACAGTGTGTGGCTAACCTTAGAGTTCAAACTGTGCATTTATACAAGACAAGACACAATAGATCTACTGGCCCCATGTTACAAGTTCAGTATGCATTAGCCCTGCCTCGGTATTTCCAAACCTTCAGCATAGGTTTGGAAATACACAGTTCAGAAGCCTCAGGATTAGATCCCTAAATGAGGAAAGACTGGTTTCACATGGTTATGGTGTGAACATGCAGCAAGTCTCAGGAAGAAGGAGCTCGTAGTCGTCTCTGTCCCCAAAACAACACTAAGCAGACTATTTTACTGTTGTTAAGGCTGACTGAAAAGCAGACTGCATAGCATTTTCTAATGAATACCCCTACAAATTTGATAACAGGCCATTTTCCCTGGCTTCTGCATAGCAGATACCTTAACATGTTACATCATGTATCGCTCTCTGACAATACTGGGAAGTGTGCCAAAGTGAAAAGCAAACTAAACATAGCTGCAGTGTTAGCTTCTGCATACAGTGATTTACCTGGTGGCTGACTCGGTAGATTACTGTACATGTTAGATTTTTATTTACATATTTATTAAAATGTATCCAGTTTTATTCATCTTATTATGTTTTTCTCAATTATTTTGTGTTGTAAAATGGATGTTCATCCAGTTTATTGGTGCATGCCTTATTTTGTCATATCTGTCAAACACATTTGACAGGATAAAGTGTGTTAAACTATTAATGAGTTGCTTAGAGTAGGATGGAAACCAGCCACACTTCCTCTTTATGCCTCAACCTTGTCTTTGATTGCTCCTCTGCTCAGTTCACTTCTTACCCTACAACTAATCCATCTAACAGCTAGTCCCTGGCAACACTCGCTCACTGTAATGCCAGTTGTTACCACTAGATGGCAGTGGCTGATCATGTTTCAATAATCTCTTCCTTGTCGAATGCTGTTTGACCTTTGTTCTTTCTCCTTCTTCCCACCTGAGATAATCAGATATATCATTAACCAAGTTAAACAAAATTTTAATGGAACACGGCTTCATAGAAGTAGGTAAAACATTGAAAACGATAACTGACAATATTGACTTAGTAAATAGTAGCATGTGAGTTGGAGTTGAGCAGGATTGGATTGTTCAGCATTAATCCCACTGCATCTGTCCTCTCTGTGTGCTGTAGGGCAGTATTCAGTGTGTGTGTGTGTGTGTGTGTGTGCCACCCCCAGTGCTGACTGAACAGCTGCGCAGAGGCTGGTCTTGACAGTGTGGTCAGATAAAACTGGTTTACATTTTGTGTTAGACTCATCACATGCAAGCATTTTATTGACACGCAGTAGAAGTCATCAGTAAGGTCATACCCAGTCTCATTTCACATATATGCATTTGCTCTGCTCTTTCTCTCATATTGCCCTTGTTGTGCTCGCTTCTCTCACACAACGTCATTCATTTACATCACTGAGAAATCACATCATCTATCTGAGATAAACACAAACAAATAAAACTAGGCCAGAGTGATTACTAGTCATTTTTAAAAATAATAATAGTATGATGCTCTAGTGATACCTCTGTAACGATGATGATCATACTGTTGGTATATTATGAAAACCAACGCTACCCTATCAGCCAGTAAGTAGTCAGTGTCTTTGTCTCTGACCGCATAGCGTCTTCCCCGTCTTGTCGTCCCTGCTTTTTCTGTCTTGTTGTCTAACCCTGGGTGTCACCACTCTGTATATCTGTCTAATTTATCAGTTTCTTGTAGATTGTCAGCAGCCTGCTGCCTCAGTACCGTCACTCTCCCCACAACTAAGGCGAGGGAGAGCATCCCTAACCCGCAGGTAACAAGCTGTAGAACCCGGTAGTAGTAGGATCAGCATAGCGTCTTCATCCATCCATCCATCCATTCATCCATCCATCTCTCTATCTATCTATCAAATCTTTTGACAGTAGCACATCTGCATCTGTACAAGATAAATGACCCTGTATGTTCTTAGGTTTTACACTTTGCATTAGCTACTTAATGAACAGTTTATGGCTGAAAGCCTGGTGTTACATGCAGTAAATAATCAGCACTTCTCTTTGGGCGAAGGGGATGTTTTTCACATTGCATGCACAATTTTGCATGGCATTTTTATTTACATGCTGTTAATGTATATACAGTATGTAATACTAGCTGCCATTTCATATATGTGAATTTAAAGTTTGACATTAGTAACAATTAAGTGCAGAAGTTCAGGATTACCTTTGGATTATGCAGCTGTATTTTTTGCTGACATTCTGGTTTGCCATAGCAGGAAACTGACAGATTTGATTACATCGACAATGAAATGGTTACACAAATCTATGTCAGTAGGCCAGCAGCTATAATTAGCACCCATAGTAGACCGCAGACAAATATCCAGTGTGAGGATGATCTGTTAGCTTACAGTGAACACTTCAAAGAGTCTTACATGTGGTTAGCAGGCTAAAGTTTGTGTTTACCAGCAGACTGGGGCAACAAGTATTTTCTCTGACCATATTTTGTTCTGTAGATGTTCTCACTTGAAATATGAGCAGCCCTTCTCTTGGCTTTTCTCATCTAACAGTTAGCAAAAAAGCAAATCAGGTATCCCAAACTCTCTAACGTTTCCTTTAAGTAAGCCACATCAGGCTTCTTGCCTTTGTCACAGGTTGCATTTTTGTTTGTTTGGTATAACCTAATTCTTCCAACAACTATTTCGCCCTCCTCTATAGGCTGTAACTTGCCCATCTTTTCCACTTAATCTTATTTATTCTTCTCTCCTATGTTTCTGCATGTTTACAGTCGTAAATTTGTGGCTGACCTCCACGAACACCACGCAGTCCTGTCTGGCAACGGTAGCCTTCTCTACCCCTGCGACCCTCGTAACTGTCTGGCCCAGCAACTGCACCCACCTGGAACCTAACCCTAACCCTGCTCCGGTCCGGAGCCTGGCTTCACTCTCTTAAAAGTCAAGCAGTAACAGAGACATTCTGCAAGGGGGTTCCATCACTTTAACACCCCCAGACCAAGGAGTTAAACCTGGTGCTTACTGGACTCTGTCCCCCTAACTCCCCGACCCCTCACCTTAATACCCTCGCCCCTCCCTCAAGTGCTACATGGCCCAGCCCCAGTAGGCCTCCTGGTTACCTGGGTCGCAGGAAGAAGAAGAGCAGGACGCTCTTATCTTCTCTACAAGTGACATTCTATCCTGGACTGAGGCGCAAATCATGGGAATCTCTTCCCTTATTCCTGCTAGTATTTATTGATATTTTGTTTAATATTTATTTACATATTAATTTGTGACAACTTTCTGAGATATTTATTACTTGGATGTTTTCTGTTTGTCAGTCATTCTTCAATCAAGATGCGTTCAGTGATCACGTACAACTTGGTGCATTCATTAATGTGTGCAGCCAATTCTTTTCAACAAAAGAAAAGCAGCACAACCAAAAGAAGAACTTTTTCATTGTTAAAATTACTTAAGGAGGATTAAAACTTGCCTAACATCACATTTAAAAAGTTAGATCTTGCATATATACTAATCAGTCAGTATAGGCCATTTTACACAGGGGTACACTGAGTTTGATGTTGCATCAGGGAATGAAGGGAAACATATTACAAAAAAATTGTGTCATGTGGTGGTGATAGCTGGATTTCATAAAGACTATTTTCTACTTTGTTTTACTTTTCACCATTCTTTACAACAGTCTCTGGTGACATGGTTGTGTCTGTTAGCTCAGATCTCTTCAGAGACTGGGATAGATGAGAGGCTGAGTGTGTGAGGTCAAGACTAGGGCTGTTGACCCGGGTTTTTTGCCTTTTGAATTGCACAGGTTTAAGTGACTGTGGAATGAACTGACCCTATTATTTTTAAATTTAGTTAAGGATGGAGGATTCCCCAAAGGTGTGCCTCTTCTTGCGTTAACGTCAACGTTGTATTCTCAGCATCGAGTATTCTCAGTCCTCTCTGTGGTCCCCTTCACTGTACTGGTCACAGCTCAAGAAAACTGTTATCACCCCGAGTTGCCCAGACTACAACAAAGTGACATGTTCAGTATTCCAGGATACTTGCCTGTCATTGTAACATCTCCTTGTTGAGTAGCCTTCACATACTTCCTCCAAGCAGTATTCTGCACTGTCCAAGCACAATTATGCACTATGCATTACAGCAATACAGTAGCATGGTCGTAGGCTGATAGTGATATGGTTTACATTGTCTTCCAACCATTTCTGTCACCGTGAACTAACCAGCAGGATGACAAGAGAAGACGGCGGGAGTCTCCCTGACTTTCTTTTTAAAAAGTGGCATTTACAGCCACTGACTGTATAGTTACAGCACTATGTTTTTTTTTGCTTGTCTTATTTTATTTTTTGCAGTAACACAATGTTAACACATTGTTTTATTCGCTGATGAAAAGGGGCTGAGTCTGACTGAGGGATGTACAGTATGTAAACTGTGCAAATGATGCAACATTCACTGCATAACTGAAGTTCCATCTTATCTTTATAACCTCACAATGTCTTTAATGTTAACATTTCCCTTTCTGCATTTTGCCACATGGATATGAAATGATTAATCTACTTAGCCAGCATAGTGTTGTAATGACAGATGAAAGCATTTCTTCTGTAACTGAGAAGAAGGATTGGACTCCTGATCTCTCTCTCTCTCTCTGCATTTGTTGGATTTATCTTTTTTTAACAGTCTGGATTGTTTCCTTTGCAGCTACAGAGTGATGGAAATGTTTGTGAACCCCAGCAGGTTCACTGGTGAGCTAATTCTCTGGTTTGTTTGCACAGCATAGCAGTGGATGGAGAGAGATTAATCCAGTCAAAGGAAAACCTGGTTTAAAAAGAACAGTAGCTGTATGCCATGCTGCAGTGGGTTTAACAGTTTCTTCTCCATTTAAAAGTATTTAACTGGTTTCATAAGTAAATAAAAGACATGTACTTGGATTTGTATGCGACTTCATGTTTGTGTCTGTTTCTTTATCATCTTAATGTCAGTGTTGAGGTGCTAGAGTATGTTATACTTCACTACAATTCAGAAAGAAACACCGTGGATTTCTCAAACTTTTAATTATTATTCTTCAAATTGGAAATTTAAGAACACAAACATGTCAGAAACGGATGCAGCCGAAAAGTGTTAGGTGAACTGATTAAATGGCCAGACGAGGAAGTAATGAACAAAACCCGTCTCTTTAATAAGAGAACTAACGTAACAAAAAAACCATACAACGCACGGTGGAAACACAAAACCCACGGTCGGTATAACAGTCCGAGATCAGAGCCAGCAAACACATACATCCAGGGGAATCCAAAACGCGTTGTCCAAAGATAAGTTAAGCCCATACAGTGAAGCAGTCCGAAATAAGAGGGCAAGGCAGAACAGAATAATCCAAGGTAACAGTCCGGGTCAGAAACACAAAAATACCAAAACCGAAATGAATGCTGGAAAGTCAGAGCTGGGGTCTAGAACAATGTCCTGGTGGGAGGACACTGCCTAAATAGAGGTGTAAACAATAAGGTGCAGGTGAAACTAATGTGAGTGATGAAGAACGTAAAAAGACCGAAACTAAGGTGAAAACAAAAACAGGAAGTAACGTTAAAATAAAAGCCGTACGGGAAGCAGCGGAACCGAATCATGACAAGACATGGTGCGGTTCATGATTATTACATTAACCAGTCATGTGCAAAGTACCTTGAGGCTATATACTGACAAAATACAACATTAACTATTCATTTAAAAATTAAAAACTAAAAAAGCTAATTTTAAAAATCATATAACCCTGAAAGGAGTCTGCCTGCATAAGGAACACTTTTGGTTTTGATACTTTACTCTTTTATGATAATATATGAGTAGCCTTCTTCTTTCACTACTGAAAACTACTTGTTTGGTAAGTTGCAAAACTGACTTTGTCGTGGCTAGAGTGTGATGCCGACTAAATTAATTCAGACAAACCATCCCAATTTAAAGGATCATTTAATATTACAATTATTCTGAATAGAGTAGTATTTAAACAGATAATCTGGTAGTTAGGGAAACAGAGAACAGATTCACTGCTCCTGTAATGGAATAGATACAGTATTACATGAGAGTTGTCACAGAGTCAGTCAGTCTTCGTCAGCCCACAGTCAGTTGTCAGTCTTAATTCAGCGTCCCCACAAAGTACACGGTTTACTGTCCCAATAGCACTGTCATCCTCTCTCTCCCTTCTTCTCTTCTAACCCAGCTTTTTATCTGCTCATACTCACACAGCCCTCCATGGCCGGAGCCATGAAGACGCGGTCCCATGCCAGCTACCCACACACCCCTGCTTCCGAGCACTATCTAGAAATGTCCAGTACCTGAACTTCTAGGTCACATTGACCTAGCGCACATTTCCTTTTTCTAAACCTGAACAGAGCACACGAACAGTTCACATAAGGCCTGAGGACGAAGTCACTCAGGATGTTGACCCATAGGCTAAACAAGGGGGACACAGCCCAAGATATTCCTGCTTGAGCAAGAGAAGAGAAACAGATCAAGCTTCCGTACACACTTAGCTCAGCCTTACATCCTTACACAACTAACCCAAATAATATCTATATGAACTACATACTGTTCTATTACATATCACCTCTGGAGCCTTGTTTTATTGCTATCCACTACACTGTCACAGTGACACCTTATTTTCTTTTGTGTGTGTACGTGTGTGCGCGCCTGTACCCTGCTGTGTGGGTGGAGACGGTCAGAACGCACCGGAATGAGAAAGGCGGGGCTTGGGGAAACACCAAAATCAAAGTGACAGTGTAGGATTAGTAGGTGGTGGTTATCTGACTGTCACATGTGTGTCTTTAGTGGTTTGATGCTACTCGTTTACCTGCACGGGTCAGATTTCCTAGAGGTGCGCGCGGGCTGCCGCTGCGGGTGGACGCGGTGCTGAGTTCAAGGCAAGGATCCGGTTTTGTAAACTGCTCACAGTTATTTAGTTTCGCTTAAGGAGACTAACTGTTCCAATGCCGGAGGATCCAGTGTCCCATAAAAAAATGGACAGCTTTAACAGAGTCGCCTTTCGCAAGAAAGACCGACGTCTGGAAGCTGCGGAGGCAGAGGAAGCAGGTGAGTTGTGAAGCAATGCTGGGAAGCCATTTTCTTGACAAAAACAACTATGCCAACCCATTATTAGTGCAAGATATTAGTTTCTTTGCTTTTTAAAATCAGTGCACCTTCTTTCTGGACTGATTTTGCCCACTTATTACAGAAGTCCTCTGTAAGCTCACTGGTGCACCCTCCAGCAGAGCTCTATCATGGAGTAAACCTCTGAAGAATTCATGCCCAGTAAAGCCTTCACCTGGTTTCATGGTGACTCAGTGTAGCCTTCAGATGTCAGTCTTGTTGGGAAAGCTTGGAATGGCCAGGCTGTAACACACCTACAGTACATCGCAGCCATTGTTGACATGCCACTGCTGACTAAATAGCTGCTCAGCAGATATGAAGGTTTTAATGGCAAGCCTCAGCCTGTTGTGTAACCGTCTACATGCTGGAGGGCACCTTTATATTCTGGAAAACAGGAAGTCTCAAAACTTGGTCTGCTCAGGATCTGCGCAGGTCAAGAGTCTTTGCCAAGAAAAGTTCTGCAACATTCCACATCTCAGGCTGAGTTTTAGAATATGATTAACAACATGTCTGCTGCAGGCTCACAGATGGGTCTTTGCAGACCTCCAGCCTGTCTATATCTCTCAGAAAACAAGGATCTAAATACATGGCAGTACACCTGCAGTGTGAACTGCCTGGGCATGAACCACTAAGACAGGAGGCGTTGGCGTGGGCTTCGTGTAATCTTGCAAAATCTGCAGAGTGCTTGTGCAAACATGCAGATAAGATTTACTATAGTGTACTTGGAGTTCGATGTGAATTCTTAGGATCAGTCTCAGTGGCCTCAGCTGATAAGGCACAGTGTGTTAGTGGTCAGCCCCGGTCACACTGGTATGCAGGTAATAAACTGTGAACCAGAAAGTCAGGTAAATACCAGAAGACCTAGATGTGTCGGTCAGTGAATCACTGCCTGCTGCAACACTGGAGCAAGATTGTCTGCATCATCTGCCCCTTGTATTGCACAAACTCAACTTTTTTGATAATACAGTACTGTATAGAATACCTTATGCTTCGAACACATCTGCTTTGACCGCAACATAATAAGAAAGCTGCTGTACTGAATCAAGGATCTGAGCTTTAATGACATTTATCTGGTCACTGTGAAACTTTAGTCCAATAACTGTGATTATTTAATGCTATTAAAATGCTTCAGAGACTTCACAGGATTTGTGCTTTCATCATAGATGGACTCAAAGCTTTCCTCTTTTCATCCCAGTGATTGATTACAAAACTGGCCTCTCATCATTTCTGTAAAAGCAAAACAAGTTACATGAACATTATGTGATTCAGAAAGTGTGGGGGGCGGCTGTGGTTCAGTGGGTAGAGCAGTCATCTCCCAACCGGAGGGTTGGAGGTTCGAATCACGGTGACTACAGTCCACATGTCAAAGTGTCCTTGGGCAAGACACTGAACCCCCCGTTGCCCCAATGGTTAGAGCCATTGGTTGAGTTGGTGCCGCAGATGGCTGCCTTGGTTCAGTACCGGAAACAAATTCCTTGTGTGTGTAACATGCTTGGCCCATTAAAGGTGATTATTATAAGTGAAAGCGCTAAGCAAAGCTACATTGATTTTCCCTGGCACAATTAAGCAGTCATTTCTTACATTTGACTTTCTTTGTTTCTGTCCAAATGATAAATCCTGCACTTCTTGGACCACAGAGCTTCAGTGGAGAAGCAGCACTGGAGTGGTCTAACTTTGGCCTTTAAGTCAATTTTTGTCTGCTTTGACTCAGTCTTCCTGGGTATCTGGGCTAGGTCATCAAGTCTCTAGGTCTGTTGTCTTTTCATAGTGGATCATCATTCAGTGTAAACGTCTCTAATTTGTTATCCTGTCAGCTCTCGTGTAACCGAGTTTGGTTGTACAAATGTGCAATATATATTAACACTAGACTATCTTCCTGTGCCGCTCTCCTTTGTGTTGTGTTTGCAGTGAGCAGAAAATAATGTTTTCTTTGACATATATTATAATGTCATTGCTTCATAAACATCACACCCCAGTGCCCAAGTATCTGCTTTAAGATAACTTGCATGAAGAATAAAATGTCAGTGCTTTAAGTCCAAATAGCTTCGGGGCATATAGATGTGAGCTGGTGTTAGTCTGAGGACAGCTGTGTCCAACAAAGGAGCTGTCTGTCCAACAAGTTTTCTGTCTGCTAAGCTAGAAGCGGTGGGACTGTATGAATCAGAAGCTGTGTGGCCCGCTGACCTACTGTTGCTGCTATTGTTTTGCTGTACTGACGCCCATTCAGCCTGAACTGAACCCAGTCACTGTCCTTCACTGGCTTTAACTCACTTCAGGCAACAGTGTTTCACTTGTGCAGCTCAGTTCATGATGGCTTAAAGTTGATTTCTTTTTATGTGCCGTGCATTGCTGTACCACTGTATAAGCTGCCCTGTCTTAGTAGTTCATGCCCAGTGTAAATCATAGCTTCTGGTATAAGGCGGTCAAATTGTTTCATTAAAGCAGCATCATTTGATATTTTATATAGACAATGAGCGAAATGAGACTGTAATGTTCGAGGTGCTGCTTGTAGTGCTGAGAATTATCATCCGATTCTGCCGTTTTACTCAGCTGCACAGCGCTTTGTTTGCATCTTTGTGATCATTGTATTGCATTCATGCTCGTAACTTTAGTTTTTTTTTTATTGTTGTTCACTCTAATCAACCTTGTGTCCACTAAAAGTTTGAATTAATACCAAGTACGAGTGTAACTCATCATCATGATCCACTGGGAGAATTTCATACAGTATGCTCTTGGTCTGTTTGGGGCATTTTTTTGCTAGTGAAAGACAAAAAAATGTGAGACAAAAA